TGATGGCCACCCACAGACAGAAGGATGATCTGGTGATGCTGGGGCCACTCCAATCCATTCCATGTGCACATCCTAGGGAGGTAGCCAGCCAGGACGTATCATGCCCATTTTCTAGGAGTGAAAACCAAGGCTCTCGCAGGGGAAGGCACTTACCAGAAGTCACATAGGAACTGACTCATGTCAGAGCTATCCATCCTTGTCTCTGGCTCCCAGGGGCAGGGGAGACCAAGTGTCCTGTTTGCTTCCCACAGGCTGGGAAAATCACTGGGTGTAAATCAAGATGGAAAGGGCCATTTGAAATTTGAGGGCCTGCCTGGGTTGGAAAGGCCTAGAACTTGTAGCCACAGAGAACTGGATTTGAATATCAGCTCTGCCCAGACAGCTTTTTTGACCCTTAGTAAGTCATTTAACCTGTCTGAACCTCAGTTTACTTACCCGTAAAATGGGGACAACCTACATGCCTTGCAGGCTTGCAGGGTGAGTAAAAAGAGGTAATGCACCTGAAGTGCCGAGTAGGTGGCCTGGGGTGTCCCTCGGTCTCTGCACTGGGGTCACTGTGCGCGTGCACATCTCCATCCCTACCACCAAACTGCTTCTGTGAGGCAGGGCCCCATCTTGTTTCTCTGAGTCAGCATGGTCAACCCCTAGGGTCTGAGTGGACACAGGCTCTCCAGGGGCTCAAGGGTTCAGACAGCAGAGCAGAAACCAACCAGAAGTCTCCGTAGAAGCGAGTAGGAGCTACATGTACAGGGCTGGGGGCACCGAGCCAGGCGAAGCCACCCGACTCTGTGCACGTGTGGCTGTGTTCCATGTGTTCTAGAAGGAGGCAGCCTCTGAGAGAGAGCAGGGGAGACATGACCACATAGGAACAGGACGGAGTGGTGTGTGCAGCCCCGGCCAGGTGGCTGTGTTGGTGCCGGGGACAGACAGCCTGCTGCAGACCGATGTCAAGGAATTGTCTGGAACTTTCCTTGGGGCTGATGTTGGCGCTGGTACCCGGGCAGGGGAAGGGGGCGGCGGGGGAGGTGAGTGGTCCAGGGGGGCGGGTCATGAGCTAGGCCACCACTTGGGACCGAGCGCAGCTGCTTAACCCTCCTCACAGGACTGTGTTCTAGGTGTTTCTCCTTGCACGGTGCAGGGAGGGAAGGAGAAGGAGCCTTTCCTCCACCCCAGGGCAGGGGCAGTGAACAGGGACACAGCAGATCCCACCGCCTCGGTGGCAGCAGCAGGACACAGAGGGGGAGGAGGTGGGAGGCTGGCAGGGGGCCGGACTGGATACCAGAGCCGGAACAAGCAGCCAGAAACCCCACAGATTCGAGCTGGTCTGGGAGGTGGCCCCCAGCAGGGGTTGGTGCTGCTCCCCAGGGTCCTGTACTTGCCCTTCCCCTCGCCCCTGGGCAGGCAGGCTCTGCTCTGTCCCCAGGCTGCCTCTGGGGCTCAGGGCCTGGCCTGCGGCTCCCCTGTCTCGCGCCCTGGGGGCCTTGGCCTTACTGTGGCGGCTGTGGCCAGGCTGGAGCACACATGAGCAAGCCCAGCAGCTGAGGTGTCCGTCTCAGAGGGGACCCGTGCGGGTAGCTGCTGGGCAGAGGGTTTCTCCAGGCTGATGGCAGCCTTTTCTGAATGACAGCAGTGACAGTAGGCGCCTTCGTGGCCGCCACCAGCTGTGTGCCAGGACCTGTGTCAAGTTTCGGCAAATGGCAGTTCAGGGAATCTCAGGCTGGGGGCGGGGTGGGCACTCTGGGGTCTCGGATGGTGCTTCCATGGCTCCCCTCTGCGGCCCTGTCCCCGGAGCCCTGCCCTCAGCCGACCACCCTCTGGGCTGGGGCCAGGGTGGGGAGACCTCTGGCCCCCAGCTCTGGGCACACAGGGTCCTCCCGGTTGCTGCCACTGAGATAAGGCTGAAACCTGGAAAGCCCGGGGAAGGGGGACGGGGCCCGCACTACCCCCACCAAGGGGAATGGCCTGGGTGGGGGTCTGCCTCAGTGGCTGGTGGCTAGAGACGCCTGCCTGGGCTCAGACTCCTGCCCCACCCACCCCGAGGTCTGCGTGCCCTTGGCTGTCACGCTCCACTCCAGCCCCTCTTCACCCCTCCATGGGGGACACCGCCGCTGCAGGGACAATGCTTTCTCCGTTGCTTCGGGCCCATCGGAGGTGCTGGGAAGAAGGGGTTGCTTTCGGCGTGGCTGAAAAAGGGGACTGGCAGCCCCAGGGGCAGCTCACACTCCATCAGGTCATCAGGTCCGGGGAGTAGGGGAGCCTGGGGCCGGCCTGCGTTCTGTGGGCTCCTCTGCTTGGAGGCGCAGGGCGGGCCCCACCACGGTGCTCCCAGCCACTGGTCAGGTGAGGGGGAGCTGCCGACCAACTCTGGGGCTGGGCTGCCAAAGTCTGGAGCCAGGGAAGGACCGAGTAGGAGGCTGCAGGCCTGACCCATCTCCCCTCCGGCGCAGCCTGCCGCTTCTGGCCCCGGTGACTCCCGTGAGCCCTCGGCAAGTTAGGGTAACTGGCCTGTCCTGTCTGCCTGGCACCCTGGGCCAACCGGTCACCCTCTTGCCAACTGAGCCAAGGATCAAGATGGCTTCCTGTGGGGGGAGGAGGGGCTAATTGGTACCCTAGAGTCCCCATCAGTGCCGGCCTTGGGGTATTCTGATAAAACCATAGAGAAATAAGGCCAGCGAGTCCCCGAACCCAGCTCTGGGTTTATAGCAAAACATCAAGAAAAGGGCACAGCCCCCCCACTCAGCCCGCTCTCTCCTTCCCCCCCCGCCCCACCATGGAAGACAACAGACAGTCCTCTTTATAAGTACGTTTTTACTGAAAATAAAAAAGGCATGGTACTTTCTTCCTTGTAAAGAGCATCCAGCCTGCCTCTCCACCCCCGCACCGCCGGTCCTGCTCCCGAGGTGGTCTCCACACAAAATCCACAGGAGCGGCTCGCTGGTGGACAAGACGGCCCGGACTTCATGCTTGTCCACGGAGACAGAGCTCCTGCGGACGAGAGCCCTGTCGCCGTGTGCGCTGGGCACACGTCAGGAAGGCAGATCTCAGGGAATGCACATTCATGCGTTAGAGAGCGCGCACACCCGGGCTGTTGGAATCAAACTTTGTACAGATTCGCAGAGTACAGTGATTTTATATAGAGATCTCTTTAAATATATATATATATATATATAACGATATATAATATATATGTCTATATTTTTACAGCTATTAGTCTTCCTTCCAAAACTTGCTTTAGAAGCTTCTAAGGAACACCTAAAAACTCTGGGAGATCCTGTAGGCCATTCTAAGTTGGGCTCGACTAAGAGACATTTAAAAAATATCTGTTTGAGAAAAGGCGGAGAAGAAATGTGCATTTCATTCTCGACCTCAAAGTTTGGGCTAGTCTGAGGATTGGTCTGTGTTAACGGACTGCAAATACATTCCTTAAATGAAAGTTCTGAGCTCAAATACCAGGCCATGTGGTTGTTTTTCTTTCTTTTTTTTTTTCCTGTCACTTAAGCCAAAACTCCGGTGAGGTTCCCTTGCTGCCGCGTGTGAGAGCTTCCAAACGGCCACTTCTAGGTTTGGTGCGTTGACTTCCATGTTGATTTTTTTTTAAGAACTAGGTCTGTTCTTCTCTTGGTTTTTATTAACTGAGGGAGGAGAGACTTTACAAATGCGATTTGGGGGAATTTACGCACAAATGTTAGCTCTTCCCCGAGCTCCGCTTGTGTCCCCCAGGAAGGGGACACTGGCCGCAGGGCACCATGGGTAGTTGTCAAGGTTCCTCACGGTGGGGGGCCTTGCCAGGGGCTGAAGGATTTGGCTAGTTGTAAAACCTCCTAGGTTGAAGCCAGGGTCAGGAAAGGTGGGACAAGTGGGATTGTGCAAAGCGGGCCTATGCCCAGCCTCCCTGATGTCTCTCCAAGCTGGCCGTCCACCCCTCCATGGCCCCTTAGCTGGGATTTTCCCCTCTGACAGAGGGGCCTTCCCATCCCCTCTGAGTCCAGGGTGGCACATGCTGGCGGTGGGGGTCCTCCCTGGGTATCTGCTCTGGGCATAAGCTGGGGACTCCGCGGGAGGCTGGAGACCGTGAGGAAAGCGCCTCCCACTCCCTCTGGGCTCTTGTCACCAGCTCTGCATCCCTTGGGGGAGTGGGAGGCATGGACAGAGAGGACTGCCCAGCGCCCACTGGCTGGGGGCACTGACCACTGCCACTGGCGGTAGGGTGCCATGCTCACGCAGGCAGGGGAAGCCAAACCCAAATCCAAACCCAAACCCAAAACAGGTCCTCACACCAAAGGAAACTGAAAAGAACGAACCTTTCTGAGAGGGCCTGGGCCTGTCCCTGCTGACCTGGGGTGGAAGACCTGGGTTAGGGTCCCAGCAAACTCACTTTCTCCCCTCTGCCCTCCAAAACACAATGGACCACAGACCACTCCGTGGGCACAGGAGCTCCAGGACGATGGAGTTCCAAGGTTCAGCCTGAACGGGGACTTGTTTTCTGTGAGGCTTACCTGGATAGGAAATTCTCACTGTGGCCCAAACACCCTCCAGGGAATTATGGCTTGATGGTCTGGAAGGCGGAGAGGGTCTACTGAGCTAAGTCCCTATGCAGAGAGAGGAGGACCATGACATGTGTCCAGTTCTTCTGAGCAACTGTGTGGGACGTGAGGGAACCACGGGGTCGGGAGTGTTCTCCCAGTCCGCCAGGGGAGACCGAGCCACAGGCCACTGTCTCCACGGGGTTAGTCGTGTGCCCACAGGCCCGTGGCCACCCGGGACACAGGCGGGTGGACCAGGATTACCAGGCCCAGAGGATCGTCTCCTTCCATCCTCTTTCTTCCCTTCATCCACCAACCCCTCCGGAGGCTTCAGCATGTTTTAAACACAAGACCTTGGGAAGAGACATTCAAAGGGGAGCACTGGGAGGACACCACCTCCCTGTGGGTGAGGGGGGCCGGAGGCTCTCGGGAGAGGGTCTGTACCTGGTCAGGGCCTTTGCGGTGTGTGGGGGGGTGGTGGTTGTCAGAGGACCCAGAGCCAAGTCAGGGCAGCCTAGCCCGGAGTGCCCACAGGGGCTTGGCACAGTGGCGGCCTCCGCCGGATGAGGGCGGGGCCTGGCTCACACGCGGCAGGTGCTATGAGGCTCAGCTGCGGGGATGAGTCTGAGGACGGGCGAAGGGGCCTCTGTCCTTCCTGGCTCCTTGGCCTGGTGCCCAGTGAGCTGCTTTGCCCCTGAAAGGTCAGACACTAAAAGAGCTCCTCTGTCTGCTGCCAGGAGGGGCCTGGGCTGGCCGGGCTCACAGCCCTCCGCGGCAGGGGGGCAGGGGTCCCGAGCTAGGGGCCCTGGATGTGGGTGCGAAGAGGAGGAGGGAGGCAGGCCCTGAAGACTGAAAGAGTGGCAGATGCGGTGACAGACAGATGTGTGGGAAGCACCTTTGGAAGGGGACGTCTTGTGGCTCTGCTGATGGCTTCTGTCGGGATGCACGGTGAATGGAGAAGTGGACGGGCTTGCTGGGGAGGAGGAGAGATTTTCTGGCAGGGGAGTGGCCCCAGATCACCTTTCTCTTGGCCAAAGCAGGATGCCTCCCTGGCTCAGCACAGACAGACAGACAGACTCCCCCTGCCTTTGTCAGAGCACGGCCGGGAGACAGGAAATCAAAGACAAGACAGGGAGGAGATGTGCAGGGCCTGGGGTGTGGGGCTGTCCCCAGGGGCTGCGTACAGAGGATCCTGGCTCAGCCGGGTGTCTGCGCTGCCTTGCTCGTGAGGTAACCGGGGTCAAGGCTGGGAAGAGGATGGTTTCTGCTTTGGAAGTCCTGGACAAGCCTAGCGTCAGCTCAGGTCCACTTGCTTTCCCGGGTCCACTAACGCCACCAGCGCCACCAATGTGCCCCTCTGGCCAGCAGGTCCGAGGTCTGCAGACTCACACCATGGCGCTGTTCACGTCCACCCCTTTGCTGCTCTGCGAGGAGGTCATGGGGTACTCAGCAACACTGGTGCCATTCTCCTCTTTTCTCAGTGGTTTCCTGGGAGGGGAGGCAGGAACAGGCATGAATGACCAGTGACTGGGGCGGGGGAACCGTGTCCTTCCGGGGGCCCACCAGGCTCTGATCTGGCTTAGGCTGCAGGTCCTGGTGGGGGCCAATCAGAAGCTGGAGGTGGTCTCAGCGAAGGTGACCACATCACAAGTCACGCACACCAGGGCACAGCTGAGAGGGAAACGGGCACTTTTAATAAGGAAGCAGGAACAACAGGTGTGAATTGGGGCTGTTCTGGACAAATGAGAATGGAGAATGTAGTTAGCCTAGTAGGACATTGTCAGGCTTTGATCGATCTCTTTGATTATGAGCAAGCAGATGTGAAGATGAACATTTGGGGGTGCAGAGTGAAAAGAGGAGAGGGGCCAGAGGTTGGATTTTGCAGCCTGGCCTCTACGTGGTCAGAGGAACGTGGAAAACGTGATGAAGAGGATGGTGGTGAAGGTGAGGCTGGTGGTAGTGATGGGGGGTTGAGGTGGCGGGAATAGTAATGTGAGTGGAGTTGGTGGTCGAAGTGGTGGTGGTGGTGAAGGTGGTGGTTATGGTGGAGTGGGTGGTGGAGGTGATGTTGAGGGGGGTGGCGGTGGTTGTGTTGGTGGTGTTTTTGGTAATGAAGGTGGTGACAATGGTGGTGGTTACGGTTGTGTTGGTGGTGGTGGTGATGGTAAAGAAGGTGTTGACAATGGTGGTCGTGTTGGTTGGTGGTTGTGGTAATAATGGTGGTGACGATGGTGGTGATTACGGTTGTGTTGGTGGTGGTTATGGTAATGGCGACGGCGATGCTGCTGATGTTGTCAGGAGTCCTGGTGATGGCAGTGGTGGTGATGGTGGTTGTGTTGATGGTGACAGTGAATGGCCAAAGTAAATGAGCGCACGCTAGTGCTTCTCAAACACTTCATATTGGGCCCCTTGAAGCTCATTCCAGAGGCTGTCTAACCCCTAGAGCCTGTTCTCTTAACAGTGCGCGGCTCAGGAAGGCTGGGAGGGAGGCTTTGAGAAGGCTCTTGCTCGCACGCGGGGTTCCGCAGTGGCGGTCCTACTCTCTGGCCGGGCTCCAAGCCCGCCTGCTCTCTGGCCTGGTTCAGGAGGGCCCCAGCCCCCGGAGCTAGGCCTGCTGGCTTTAGCCTCCCGATCTCGGCCACGCAGGCCATGGAGCCCAATCCCATGTTGCAATATTGCTGTCTCCTGGGGGACTCTGAGGTCCACGGGGTTGTAAGCTCAGTCACCTCCTGTGTCCCCACGACCGCTGGGGCGGAGCCTGACCTGGCCTTTGTTGTGTGTTGTCTAAATTGAACGTCCCTGGCCATCTTTGAAAGCCTGGCGATTGGTTGCTTGGGCCTTCTCAAACGTCCCTAGAGCCTCCCCAAACCCAGGCTGCAGAGGACAGGTACTCGGTGACCAGCTGGGTGCCTGTGGGATGAAGTCTTGGGTGAATTAGTTTAGGGGAGGCAGGGTGAAGGGAGGTTATCAGTAGTGCCATGGGTGTGATTATCAGGCCCGCTCAGAGGCGACACCCCAAGATCACATCTATGACCTGTTCCCTATTGTCTTGCAGGAGAGTTAGCTCACAAAACCCAGAGAGAAACCCAAAGCGCACTCACTCTGGGTGTCAGGCTTAGCCATGGTGGCTTCTAGAAATGTGAGCTACAAACCAGCACTTCTTCCTGGGGCCCATCGCCCTTTGTGCAAATCACTCTTGGTTGCAGACTTTCTTGTCCCTTCTCATAGTGGTCCCCAGAAGGAGCTAGGCCTGGAGTTAAGGGTTTCATTTCATGGGGACACTGATGCTTAAGGAGAGCTGTGACTTGCCCAAGGACCCCCAGCTGGCGGGTGTCAGGGCCTGGACCACCACCTGCTCCTACCATATCCTGGTCCAGACATCTTCCCATTAAGTCAGTATTCCCAGCAGGCTTGTCCCCCAACATAGTGGGGCTCCCATCAGCTCAGGAAGGCCATCCTCTACCTTCCTCCTGGAGCACTCCAAAAATTCTCAAGAGTCCTCCAAGAGTTCTCATTTTGCTTGAACCCAGTGCATCCCGAGAACCCCATTAATGGAGGCGCTCAGGGACACTTTCCAGAACCCCCAGGTTTGTAGGGGTCAGACAGTTGCCTTGTTTGTGATGGGCTTGTGGAAATGACAGTCTCTGTCCCTGGGCCTGTTTCTCCTCGGTCTTCTTCCTCTCTCCCCTGGGCCGCCACCCACCCCTTTCCAGGGGGCTTCGTTCCCAACTCTGAGTTTGCATGGCCTGGGAAACTGGGCTGGATGTGCATTTCCATTTGTCATCCATCTACAAAGGGGAGGACGGACATCAGAATCAGGATTCCAGGAAATAGGGACAGACAAAAATCTCGGAGTCCAAACCCACACTGCTTTTCTCCCCAATAAATGATCAATCTTGGGCTTGGTCTAAAAAGTCAGCCAGAGCAGGTCCGGCTCAGGGGCGATGAGGCTGAGGGGCTTTCCAGAGTGGATAATGGAGAGATGAAGAAAGGGGTCTGGCACTCCCATGGAAATGGGCAAGGCATGGAGGGTACAGAGTTTCCGCCTGTTTCGGATGAGGGTAGGAAATCAGCAGGATTTCTTCTGCCAGGAGAAGAGGTGGAATTTCTAAAGCCAGGCTGCTGGCTAGGAGACCTCTTTGTGTTCCCCAGAGCCTTGGAGGAAAAGGTTGGCAGAGAGGGCCTGGCAGGAAGCAAGCCTGGCCGGAGGGACACTGAGGACAAGGCAAGGAGACAGCCCCACAGCCTTCTCAATGGCCCCGGCCACTTCCCAGGCAGGAAAGGACAAAGGGGGTCTGGGCACGGGCTTCACCCAGCGAAGTGGCACCTGTGACTGCCGCAGCATCCCTCCCCCACCCCCACCCCAGGAGCATTCCAAGAGTCTGGGCGCTGCAAGGGGAGTGGGTGGGGGTTTGGGGGTCACTGTCCCAAGGAGTCTCCTGAGAAATGGACCTGATCTGTTCCCCTCCTCCACCAGCGCAGAGCCCTCAACCACTGTACCCTCTGGGCCGCTGCCCCAGCCCACTCCCAAAGCCCTTCTGTGACGCACAGAAGCCCAGTGGAATCTGGGGTTTTAGCTACAGCAGGAGATGGCTCTGCCTTGCCCCCTTCCCGCACCGTCCTTCCTCTAGCAGGGGACTTCAGGGTGATGCTGCCCCAGCACCGGGATATCCTAGCTCAGTAAACCCAGGCCCACCACTTCCAGCTGTATGATCTTGGGCAAGCCACTTAACCCCTCTCTGCCTCAGTTTCCTGGTCTACAAAATGGGCACAAGAATGGTGTCCATTTCATAGGCTTGTGGGGAGGATGAAATACGTTAATGTGGGTTAAGCACTTAGATGGGCACCTGGCATACAGTAAGGGCTCCATAAGTGTTTGTTAGCTCTCAGTACTGCTGTTGGAAAGCTGTCAGTGGGGAGCTGTCCCAGGTAGGGGGAGGGGATTAGCGGCAGCCAGCGCTCTCTAGTCAGCACAGACCTCCTACCTAATGGGTGCCCTGTGGGGCTCCGGAAATGCCAGAGAGGCTCACTACAACCCAGCCTGGGTCTGCAGCGCTGTGAGCCAGCCAGGGCTGGTCCCGCTAAGCCAAAGAAGGCCATCTGCACCCTGGTGCAGGAAGGGATGGCCACAGATGATGCCCTACAAGGCCTGGTTCCTAAAACCAAGAGAAAGGGAAGTGAGCTTTTCCTTGGCCATGCCCAGGATTCCTGCCTGGCAGAGGGAAGGTCCTCCACTCTAAGACCCCTTCCTCCCCTTGCCCTGGGCCGGGCAGCAGCAGCCGCTGGGCACCACCATGAGCCACGGCCTCTGCAGAAGATGCGACCGCCAGCACAGCCGGCCTGGGCAGGGAGGCCGGGGACCCAGGTGCCCCTCCCGGGTCCTGCTGACAGTGATATGACACGTCCCACCACCAGCCAGTTGCTCCTGCTGGAAGAGCTGGGGTCAAAGACAGCTTGGAGGAGCCCGACAACGGAGGGCTGCCAGCTCGCTCCTTGTCTCACGCACCCCGCGGAAGGGTCTGTTTTCCACGAGGTTTAGAGGTCTCTGACTCCCTCTTCCGAAAGCATCCATCCTCCCCTGCACGGACCCCTGAAGCACACACTCAGACGAACCCACCCCACCTGCATACACACCCCGACCCTACACACATACATACACATATGAGAATGCCTGGACACTCATACCCACTCACAACCTTCACACACACACACCCCCTTCCACGACGAGATGCCTTGTCGCCCGCAGGCTTCTCCAAACCTGGGTCAAGAAGCCAGAGAAAGCCTTTGCGGGCCACCCAGGGTAGTTGCTGACCGTAAGAAGCAGCGGCCTCATTTCTAACCCAGCACATCTCCTCCCCTCCTCCCCTCCTCCGCTGTGTGAAGATGAGTCAGGCGCGCCGCTGACGGGCGTCCTCACCCTCCGACCGAGCCCCGGGTTGGACCACCTCCCCGGGGCTTCCTTGATGAACCATGTCTGGCTGAGCGAGCTGAAGGCAGGTGATGATGAGGCTCATGGGCTGGTGCTCACCCCCGGGACCCAGCCAAGAGGGCCGGGCACTTGGTTCTCACTCCAAGGGTGGTGTGGAGTGAGTCATCCGAGGACTCCTTAAATCGAGATCTCCTGCCTTACCCCTTGTCCGGTCCCACGACCTCCAGCCAGCAAGTCTACAGAGATGAATTCAGGGAGGGATGGAGGTTCCTGGAGACAAAAGGGCCCCGAGAAGCAGGGACCCCTCTGGCTCTCCCATCCACGGGCGCCGAGCGTGCCCTGTCTGCCTGCCTTTCTGGCCATGACTGGCCTACAGCGCCACATGTCCCCCTCTTGCCCACCCACCCCCACCGTACAAAGCTGCTAACCCCTGCTGCCTGCTTCCCACCATCAGGACCTCGATCTCCATAATAGCAGGTGGGTCTCCTGTTGGTGGCAGGGCGAAGGGGCATAAATGAGCCCAAATGAGCATCTCGGCCCCAGGCAGATAGGGACACAT